AATCAACTAGACATAGGAGAAGAGCAAATAGGTGTCTGTATCCACTTAAGGAATAAATGAGAGATGAAAAAGGAAGATGTAGCTGTGTACAGTTAGATTTTGAACTGGCCTGTGAACATTTAGGCAGGATAAGGAAAGTTGTATCCATTCTCTCCTACCAGCCAACCTTCCACTTTGAACCTCACACCCAGTCTGGTGCCCAAGAAAGGTTATGACAAACAGGTGATATGACATCTCATGGAGAGCATCCAGGAAGTGCAAGATTGGGTGTTTTCCCATGAGTTCATCTTGTTAGGAAGGAGTGTGTGAATGTAGACCAAGTTTATGTCCTTTTCTAAATAAGAATGAACTGGAGCATTTGTGATTCAGGGCAAAATCATGCCCTCATTAGCCTCTAAGACAGGTGATAGAGCAGGTCAGCTCACCCATCTTGTATTTCCTGTGAGGAAAATGGTGTGAGTACCAATCCTCTAAAAGCATTTGACATAGAACTCGCTAAATTACCAACACAGCAAAAAATTACTTTATTCAGAATATTTCATTTTGAGCAATTTCCATATAAAACAGTTACAGGTCAGCACTTCTTTATTGAAATGCAGGCAATTAGAATATCTGAGGCTTCATCTCATATTTAATACAAGATCATGGGAAAGTCACTGGGGGTGTTCCCAGGGCACTTAGTTCAACATCATCATACACAGGGTCCCCTTTCTTCCCCTGGAGCAGCCAGGGACTCTCTTCTGCTTCCCCAGGATCAGTCACCTCTCTGGAGAAGTTCAGAGAAGAGCCTGAAATAGTAAAGGGAAGTTTGATTAGAATTGAGACAAGGGGATGGGACAGAGCCCTATGGTGGAAGGGAGTCAAGCAATTGGTGATGACAAAGCATCCCTGTGACCCAGGTGTGGGCAGGTAGGCTCAGGCTATTTCACATGAGTTACAGAGAGGATGGATCCCAGCTGTCCTCTAAGATCCAGTTCATGTGGTCTCTGGGGCCTCAGCTCATGTGGAAATCCTGCATCGCAGGAGATCTGTGCTCACACAGGAGCTCTTGGAAGACCTGCTTCCAGGCTACACAATAGCAAGGAGATGCCCAACAACAGTACAAATCATAAAAAGGAGTTTAAATATTCTCCTTTCACAGGTGATAGATGCAAAGTCACAATAAGAGGGAGTCTGGAGACAGGAACAATCTGAATTCCTCACTCACAACACAAGTTTGCTCTTAGTTGACTTGACCTCTGATCCCAAATGTTCACAAATAGTATCACAGGTGCAGCCACAGATGGCCCCTCCCCAGAGACTACCCAGGCCCTCAAATGGAGAAATATTCTTTTCTAGTGAATGAGTGTCTTCTCCTGGCTACTGAAATAACTGGAGCAAATTAGAGCTTAACTGATCATAAATACTGAGTCTATGATCCACCACCATGTTATAATGTTCAGGTCACCGTATATCATAGACTTTGTACTTGTTGATGTTAACAAATAAACAGAGCTCATCTTAAATTATAAAAATGCTTCACCCAATTCAATACTGCAATATATTTTTTTAAAATCTCTATCTTTCATGTATCAGCTCAGTTCAGCCACTGAGTCATGTCTGACTCTTTGCCACTGAATGGACTGCAGCACTCCAGGCTTCCCTATCCATCACCAACTCCTGGAGCTTACTCAAACTCAGGTCCATCAAGTCAGTGATGCCATCCAACAATCTCATTATCTGTCAGTCCCTTCTCCTCCTTCCCTCAATCTTTCCCAGCATCAGGGTCTTTTCAAATGAGTCAGTTCTTCGCATCAGGTGGCAAAAATATTGGAGTTTCAGCTTCAGCATCAGTCCTTCCAATGAATATTCAGGACTGATTTCCTTTAGGGTGGACTGGTTTGATCTCCTTGCAGTCCAAGGGATTCTCAAGAGTCTTCTCCAACACCACAGTTCCAAAGCATCAATTCTTTGGCACCTACCTTTCTTTATAAATATGCTCAATTAATCAATAAGTTTCTCTTTTGGCCATGACACAATGCTTGTGGGATCTTAGTTCTTTGACCAGGATTGGACCTGCCCCCTAGCAGTGAAAGTGCAGAGTCCAAACCACTGGACCACCAGGAAATTCCATAATCTATAAATCTTAATGCAAGTATATCACATATAAAATGATAAGTTTATGTCACATTATGGAGCCATAAATGCCAAAAGCAGAGTGATTCCTCACTCCTTACAAGGAGTCTAACAGCATTAGAGATGGCATATGGTCAAGAAGATGCTATCAAATGTATAAGATTACTTATATTTCAAATATCTAGGGAGGCTGGGCATTGAGGAGCACAAATTCACCCTTCCCAGATAGAAAGATTGCAGGAAATCAGCTGACACCACTCACCTTTCTGAGAAGACCTCACCCCATCCCCCTTCTCTGGGGGCACTTTCTCCTCTCTCCCCTGAGAGGCAGGAGGAGCCCCAGGCACTGGTACCTCTTCAGCATCATCGTAATTTTCAGCAGGGACATCAGTCCTCTGATCTGGGGGTTCCAAGAGCAGACAAGGGGGTCTGATGAAACCACAAGTGGGTTGGTCTGGGAAATATTTAAGATCCCTTATGATCAAGAGATTCTGAGTTGCTAAATAGTCACTTCTTGTTTCAAAAGATTTTTTCTCTAAGACCATGTTTCATTTTGATGTACCCACAAACCAAAACATGATTTTTATATATCCTAACATTTCCTGATGGAAACTACATATCTCAAAGCAATTCTTACACCTTAAAATGTTACTAAAGTACTTTGACAAACTGTGCTTTACAGATGTTATTTTTTAAAACATTGTGTTCCTGTTGTGATTCTGGACACAGAGAGCCCAGCCCCAATGTGAGACATCACAGAACAGCCAGAGAAGGAGAGGACCGAACCCTATCTGGACACAAGGAATGCCTCTGGTTCATCATGGGAGACTGTTCCCCATGCATCTTGTCTCTATGAGGGAAACTCTCCTCCCCAAAGCCCAGCCAAGGTGGGTTCAACTCCATTACCTGGTGCAGATCTGTAGTCACTGTACTCCTCACCGTCCCTGGTGTAATATGGCAGTTTATTCACTGAATCATCTAACAGGGAGCCTAATGTAGAGACAAACATCACACAACACACAGAATGACCCTCCCCATACCCATGGGACCAGTGTTGAGGCTGAGAAGGGACAGGCCTGGCTCCTGCAGTGTAGATGGAGACTGGAGGCTCACAGGGCTCAAGAGGCCATCCCACCATTTTGGAAGAGCTGCTTCTGTGAGCCTGGGGCACATGTGGGGTCTGTGGATGCTGAAAAGACCTGCACAGCCAGTGAGTGGTGATGACCAGATGTCCCAGGAAGGCAGGCAGAGACACCCACCTGGGCTACCAAGAAGACCCTCCTTTTGAGTCACAAAGTCATCGAGCTCCTCATACACGGCTTCAGCAAGAGCATCTTCATAGCTGGATAAGGCTGAGAGATCCCCCAGTAGGTCAGAGGTGCTACCCAGACACCCCCATCCAGCAGGCTGAGACCACCAGCAGGTCAGAGATACCACCCTAGACACCCCGATCCAGCTGGCCCACCCTTATTCTTCCCGGTGCTCACACGGGGTTGCCAGGATCTCAGCATCATTTCCTACCCAATGAACTGTGTCAGCACCTTCTCCCCTCATCTGACCTGAACCCACAACTCAGCCCCAACTTGTCTGGTCTCAAAGGAGAGGCCATGACTTATGAGAGTTCACACCCTAGTCCAAAGAACCTCTGTCTATTCAGCCCTTAGAGCGCAGCATGGAGCACATGGAGTTCTGCAGACTCAGAACAGAGACCTGGCCCAGGTTCCCCTCCTCACACCTGCCCCATCTCCTGCCTGCACACACGCTCCCTGGTCCCCAGGTATGCCTGCAGCCCACCTCTGCTCTCTGCTCTCCATCTGAGCACATGAGCCACCAGGATGACAAGGACCAGGAAGAGAAGGGACCCCAGGATGAGGCAGAGGACCCCAGGCAGGGAGAAGATGCCAGGGAGAGGATTTGAGGCTGATCTGGTCCCTAAAGAGAACAAGGGAAGAGGATTAGAATAGGTCCTGGCACAGAGAATCCCCTGTACCAGAATTTCCAGGAGCTCCGGATGATGGCATCCCAGCCTCAGACATTGACCAGCTCCCCAGGGTCTCGTCCTGAGATGAGTTAACTCCACTCCAGCCAGTGTTGCTCCAAGGCAGAGCTGGGGATTGTAGGAAGCTGCCCTGCTGAGCCTCTGACGACCCAGCTCATCCCTTCTCCTTGGGCTTCAGGAGACAGAGCATCAAACAGTTCTGGGATCCGCACCTCACTGATGAGGAGCAACACTGAGGGGCAGGTGGGAGATACTTAGATTCTGCAATATGGAAACCAAACCCACTTGGACCCCCAGGCATGAGAACATTTGACCCTAGGAACCAAGGCAGGGGATTTCCCCAAAGTAATACCCTGGCTCCTCCCCACCAGCCCTGGACTCCTCCCCACCAGCCATGGGCTCCTCCCCACCAGCCATGGGCTGGTCAGACTCTTTCCTCTCCTGAGTTGTCAGAAGGCCCACAGAACAGGTCCCCAGAATCTGAGTATTCTCCCCTGCCCGTAGATGGAGGCACAGTACCTGCTGTAGTCAGGGGCAATGTTGACCTTGCACCTAAAGAGAAAAACAGCAGTTTGGAGCAGGGTGATTGGCCAGATTCAGGGCATCCCAATTTTCCCTCCTGAGCCTGAAATCACCCCTCAGTCTCCACAACATCAGTGTCCAGTCCTCCCAGCTTCCCCGTCCTAGATTAGAGCCCCAGCACCAGGATGCTGTCTGGACACAAACTCCGCACCACGCCCGGCCCAGCCCACTGCCTCCGCGCTGCCCCAGCTCACCCAGGGAGGACCCGAGCCCCTCACTCACCAGGGCGGACCCCGCGCCCCTCACTCACCAGGGCGGACCCGCGCCCCTCACTCACCAGGGCGGACCCGCGCCCCTCACTCACCAGAGCACCTCACCCCGGCGTCCTCCTCGTGCTTGCAGTCGCTCTGCCCCCAGGGCCCCGCGGCACAGGCCCACAGGGAGGACTCCCGGCCCCCGCACCGCACCTCGTCCAGCCAGATGCTCCCGTTTCCAGGGCCAAACGCCGCGGCCCGCACGGCTTCCAGGGCCGGGCCACAGCCCAGCTGCTGACACACCACCTCGGCCTCTGCCAGGCTCCAGGAGTCATCGCACACGGTGCCCCAGGAGCCGCTGTGCCAGACCTCCACCCGCCCTGAGCACTCGCTGTCTCCTCCCCTGAGCCGGAGCTTCTCTCTGTCTGAAAAGGCAGCAGCCCCTCCTGTGACTCCCCTGGTGGGAGGAAGGAGCCCCTGCGGCCCTGGGGAGGGGGCGGGGCTGACGTACCTGTGCAGGGGGCAGCAGCTGGACAGCTCTGGGGTCTTCTTCCTGCAAACAACAAACAAAAGACTGGAAAATATATATAAAAGAATTGAAGCTGACAGAAATAAATACAAATTCAAAACAACAACAACAACAACACACACACACAAACATAAGGGTAAATATTACCTGTCATAAAGTATCAAAATTTGTATATTCTTTCCAGATCATCCTATCAAACCTCCTACCCACTCTTGGCAGAGAACCTCTGAGAAAATGATGGCAGGACCTCTGTGAGGGGGTTGCTCATTTTCATGGTCAAAGACTTTGCCACCTCTCAGTTCACGGGGTTTAATTGTAGGGGAAATATTATCAATAAAAGGTCTAACAATTCCATTTACAAAGAAATGAACAAAGACAGGCAAGGAAGGGAGTGAGCCTCTGCTTTGAAATATCTCTCGCCACAGTCTTAGCTGTGGGCTTGTGTATGTGGAGGGGGAGGGAAGGAGAGAAACGGAGAGAGAGAAATGGGGAAGGAAGTAAGGTGCTATGGTTTGACCATTTGTCGCCCTCCTCAACATTTATTTGTTTCATTCAACATTTACTGTCAAAATCTCTATTCTCAGTGTAACAGTATTTAGAGGTGGAGTCTTCTCAAACTCTTCTGAAAACAGGAGAAAGAAACACTTCCAAATTCACTTTATGAGGCCAACATTATTCTGATACCAAAGCCAGATAAGGAAACCATGAGAAAAGAAAATTATGGACTAATACTCTGATAAACATAAGTGCAAAAATCTTCAACAAAATATTAGAAAACTGAAGTTGACAATACGTTAAAAGAATCATACAGCATGATCAAGTGATATTTGTTCCAAGGATGCAAGGATAGTTCAACACTCACAAATTAATCAATGTGATACACCAAATAAGCAAAATGAAGATAAAAATCGTATTCAACAACCATTTATGGTAAAAATTCTTTTACAAAGTACGTATAGAAGGATTGCATATCAGCATAATTAAGGCCATGTGAGAAGTTCACAGCTACCATCATACTTGACTGTAAAAAAAAAAAAAAAAGCTTTTCCTCTGAAATCAGACACAAGACAAAAACGTCTACTTTCACCACTTTAATTCGACTTAGTTTTTTTAGCCCTATCCAGATCCATCAGGCAATAAAAAGAAAATCAAGACATCCAAGTCTGAAAGGAAGAGGCAAAACTGACACTATTTCCAGATTGAAAAATGGAAGTGTTAGTCGCTCATTCGTGTCTGTCTCTTTGCTACCCCAAGGACTATAACCCATTAGGCTCCTCTGTCCATGGGATTCTCTAGACAAGAATACTGCAGTGGGTTGCCATTTCCTCCTCCAGGGGATCTTCCCGACCCAGGAATCAAACCCGGGTCTCTTGCATTGCAGATGGATTCTTTACCATCCAAGTCATGAGTAAAGAAACTCCCTTACTTGATATTATATGTAGAAAACACTGAAGACTTCACCAAACATATGAGAACTAATACAATCAGTAAAGTTGTAGAATGAAAAATCTATATACAAAAATCAGTTGCATTTCTATACACTAACAACAAACTGCCATAAGGAGAAACTAAGAAAACAATTCCATTTACATTTGCATGAAAAATGAATAAAAAGCCTAGGAATAAATTTGACCAAGGAGGTGAAGGACCTGTACACTGAAAACTATAAGACATTGATGAAAGATACTGAAGAAGACTCAAATAAATGGAAAGATATTCCGTGCTCATGGATTGGAAAATCTAATATTATTAACATGCCCATACTACCCAAAGCAATCTACAGATTCACTGCAATCCTTATCAAAATTCCAATGGAAATTTTCACAGATACAGAAGAAACAATCCTAAAATTTACATGGAATTACAAAAGATGCTGAACACCAAAGCAATTTTGAGAATGAATAACAAAGCTAGAGGTGTCATGCTTCCTGATTTCAAACAGTATTACAAAACTATATTAATCAAAACAGTAAGTTCTTGGTATAAAAACGGACACAGAGATCAATGGAACAGAAGAGAAAGCCCATAAATAAACCCACATTTCTATGGCAAATTAACTTCTGACAAGGAAGCCAAGAATATACTGTGGGGAAAGGGCAGTGTTTTCAGTAAATGGCATGGGGAAAACTGGACAGCCACATGCAAAAGCATGAAACTGGACCACTATCTTACACCATTCACAGAAATTTACTCAAAGTAGATTAAAGACTTGATCACAAGTCTTGAAGTCATAAAATTTGTACAGAAAAAAACAGAAAATAAAATCCTTGATGTGATTCTTTGTGATAATTTTTTGGATTTGACACCAAAAGCAAAGGGAATGAGAGTGAAAAAAAACCAGTTGTGATGACATAAGGCTAAAAAGCTTCTGCCCAATTAAGGAAACCATCAACAAAATGAAAAAGCAACCTGGGGAATTGGAGAAAATATTTGCATATTATATTTCTGGTAAGGATTATTATCCAAAGTACACAAGGAACTTAAACAACTCAGTTGCAAAAATATCTGATTTTTAAAAAATGGGCAGAGAACCTGAATAGACATTTTTTAAAGAATACATACAACTTGCCAATAGGTACATGAAAATGGGCTCAACACTACTAATCATCAGAAGATACAAATCACAACCACAACAAGATGTCACCTCATATCCTCTAGAAAGGCTTTTATCAAAAAGAAGAAATAACCGGAGTTGAGAATATGAAGAAACAGGAAAGCTTTTGCACAGTTAGAGGGAATGTAAGTTGATGCAGCCATTATGGAAACAGTTGAGGTACATCAAAAATTAAAAACAGAACTGCCATATGATTTAATAATTTCAATTTGGGGTATTTATATGAAGGAAGAAAAAACCCTAACTTGAAAACCCAATGTTCAGTGCAGCAATGTTCAGTTCAGTTGCTAGGTTGTGTCTGACTCTTTGCAACCCCATGGACTGCAGCACATCAGTTTCCTCTGTCCTTCACTATCTCCCAAAGTTTGCTCATATTCATGTCCACTGAACTGGTGATGCTATCTAACTATCTCATCACCTGTAGCCACAGGGGTGGCTCCTTCTTTTTCCTTCAGTCTTTCCCAGCAGCAAGGTCTTTTCCAATGAGTCAGCTCTTCTCATCAAGTGGCAAAAGTACTGGAGCTTCAGCTTCAGCATCAGTCCTTCCAAAGAATATTCAGGGTTGATTTCCTTTAGGGTTGATTGGTTTGATCACCTTGCTGCCCAAAGGACTCTCAATTCAATTGTGGTGTCCAAGCATCACAATTCAAAATCATCAACTCTTTAGCATTCAGCTTCTTTATAATCCAACTCTCACATCCACACATGACTAATGGAAAAAACATAGCTTTGACTATATGGATCTTTGTCAGCAAAGTGATGTCTCTGCTTTTTAATACTCTGTCTAGGTTTCTCATAACTTTCCTTCCAAGGAGCAAGCCTCTTTTAATCTCATAGCTGAAAACAGCATTGGCAGTGATTTTGGAGCCCAAGAAAAGAAAATCTGTCACTGTTTCCACTTTTTCCCCTTTTATTTGCCATGAAGTGATGGGGCCAGAAGCCATAATCTTAGTTTTTAGAATGTTGAGCTTTAATCCAGCTTTTTCACTCTCCTCTTTCACCCTCAACAAGAGGCTCTTCAATTCCTCTTCACTTTCTGCCATTAGAATGGTATCATCTGCGTATCTGAGGTTGTAGATATTTCTCACAGCAATCCTGATTCCATCTTGTGATTTTTCCAGCCAGGCATTTCCCATGATGTACTCTGCATATAAGTTAAATAAACAGGGTGACAATATACAGCCTTAATGAACTCCTTTCCCAATTTGGAACCAGTCAGTTGTTTCACGTCCAGTTCTAACTGCTGTTTCTTGACCTGCATCCAGATTTCTCAGGAGGCAGGTAAGGTGGTCTGATATTCTCATCTCTTTAAGAATTTTCCACAGTTCCTTGAGATCCACATGGTCAAAGACTTTAGTGTAGTCAGTGAAGCACATGTTTTCTGGAATTCTCTGGCTTACTCTATGATCCAACAAATGTTGGCAATTTGATCTCTGGTTCCTCTGCCTTTTTGAAATCCAGCTTGTACATCTTGGAAGTTCCCAGTTCACTTACTGCTGAAGCCTAGCTTGAAAGACCTTTGAGCATAACCTTGCTAGCATGTGAAATGAGCACAACTGTGCTGTAGTTTGAACATGTTTTGGCATTGCCCTTCTTTGAGATTGGGATGAAAACTAACCTTCTCCCGTCCTGTGGCCACTGCTGAATTTTCCAAATTTGCTGACATATTGGTTGTAGCACTTTAACAGCATCATCTTTTAGTATTTTATAGCAATATTTACAAGAGCCAAACAATGTAAGTCTTCACTGATGGATGAATGAATAAAGAAAATGTAATGCAGACATATATCCACCCATAAAAAAGAAGAAAATCTTGCCAGTTTCAACAACATGGATGGACCTTGAGGGCATTATGCTAAGTGAAACAAATCAGACAGAGAAAGAAAAACAACATATGATCTCATTTATATGTGTAATCTTAAAGCAAAAAGCAAGTTCAGAGATGCTGAGTAGTTTGTGGCTGCCAGAGGTGGGGGATTTGGTGTGGGCAAAGGTAGTCAAAAGGTATAAATGTAAGTTATAAAATTAATAAGTGAAGATAGCATGGTGACCATAGTGAATACTGTATTGTCTATTTGAAAGATGGTGAGAAAATATACCTTAAACATTTTTATCATATAAGAAAAATGTTTAACTACATATATGGTGATGGATATAACTAGACTTACTGCAGTGATCATTTATCAATATACAAAAATACATAACCATTATGTTGCAATGGCAAACAATATAAAGTTATGTCAATTATATCAAAATTTTTAATAAAGCAAGTTTGAAATACATGGATCAAATTAGCTCCATCCAAACTTCATTTTATAATCTCAACTTAAACCCATCACTTAGATTTTAAAATATGAAATCTCACTAATAACATCCTACAGGGTTTGGACAGACAGAAACAGACATAAGTCACCTGCACATGAGATGTAGGCTTCATCCTTTGGAGAGCATGAACTGTATTTCCATGGGTCAGAAGGACACTGCCAGAGAGAGGTATCAGTTTTCCGACATTGGATTAAATCTACCCACCGGGGTCTAGAACCTGCCCTGAGACCAACAGAAGTGTTGAGACTTCCACTGTCCCCACAGCCAAGCTGTCTGCAGATGATGGACACGGTGACATCATCCATGGGGCTGCGGCAGACACTGCCCCAGGTCCCGTTGTAGAAAACTTCCAGCCACCCAGCACACTGCTGGTCCTCGCTCACCATCCTGAGAGCCAGGAACTCTAAGATCAAAATGGAAAAGACAGGACACAGTGAGCACTGCATTCAGTGCTCTGGGTTTTCCTCTCTCCCCAAAATTGTGAACACTCATCTTTGACCCAGCTGAGGAAGTAAATCCATTAGATGACCAGAGTGAAACTTGTCTCTTTTCTATCCGACTTTGTCCATTTGTGTCTGTCTTTCTAAATATTTCTACCACCATGATGTGGTGGATAAGAACTGAGAGGAAGACCAGCCTGGACACCTGCAGGGGAAGGGAGCTGACTCCTGCTTCCTGACAAAACATCTAAAGAGTGTATGAAAGGGATGTGATGTGGATAATGTGGAGGCAGATAGAATAATGGACCCACATATGTCTAAGTGGAACCTATGTCTATGTTTCCTTATCTGGCAAAAGGGACTTTACATATGTGATTAAGGTAAGGACCTTGAGATTCGCCTGAAATATGGTGGATTAACCACCCGAGCACAACCTAATCACATTCTTAGCCTCACTATCCTTTAAAGTGGAATACTTTTCCTCATTCTGGCTAGAGGGACATGTGAATATGAATAATGGTTAAAGTGGAGCGTTGCTGGTCTGATGATGAACAGAATGGGGTTTTAAGTGAAGGAAGGCAGGCGGTTTTTAGAAGCTTGAAAAGACAGGAAACAGATTCTTTCCCAGAGGCTCAGAAGTGATGTGGCCCTGCTGAAACCTTGATCCCAGTCCAGTGAGATCCCTGCTGGATATCTAAGCTACAGAAGTGTAAGGAAATAAATGTGTTGTTTTAAACCATTAACTATGTAGCAATTTGTTACAGAACAAACAAAAACTAGCACCATGGCTTTAAGACTTCTCTACCATGTGTACCAGAAGGGTGAGCCCTGATTTTAAGAAAAACTGTGAGAAAAGGCTCTGCCAGGGAACACTATTGAGAAGAAAGGACCAGATCGTCACCTGCTGCAGGAGGAAATGAAAGCACCTCATCTTCTTGTCTGCTGGAAAGACAGGCTCCATGGGAGGAAGCCTCCTTCTCTTGTCCTTTCAGCATCTCTCCCTCGGGGCTCAAATCCTCGTCCTCCAGAGTCCCACCCCTCCCCCAAACTGTGGACAGTGTGCAGCACAGACCTGAGCAGATGACCCCCGCGTCCTCCTTGTGTCTGCAGTCGTGCCGCCCCCAGCCCCGGGAAGGGCACCTCCACACGTGGGACTCATTTCCAGCGCAGTTCAGGTCGTCCAGCCAGATGGGCCCTGATCCTGCCCCGAAGTGGGCAGACCCCGTGGCATTGAGGGCTTCTCCACAGCCCAGCTGCCTGCACACCACGCGGGCATCGTCCAGGTCCCAGCCGTCATCACAGATGGTGCCCCAGGAGCCCTGGTCAAAGATCTCCACTCTCCCCGCGCAGGGACTGCCCCCTTCCACCAGGCGGAGCTGTCTGCTATCTGAGGAGAGAGAAATGGGACAATGGGGCGGTGACCTAGGGAATGAGAAGGGTCTTCTGTCTTGTGGGACCCTCACCTGAGCAGTAGGGGGCGCTCTCCTCTGAGGCTGCAGACCCTGCTGGTTCAGACACGGAGTCGTTGCACTGCGGCAGCACCTGGGTCTGATTTCCTGAAGAAACAGCAATGATTAGAGGATTGGGAAGGTTGAACAACAGGAAACTCAGTTAAACTAAATAATTTTTAGGAGGGGAGGGGAATTTGGGGGGAAATGGATACATGTATATGTATGGCTGTGTCCCTTGCAATTCACCTGAAACTATAGTTAACACTGTTAATCGGCTATACCCCAATACAAAGTAAAAATTTCAAAAGAAAAAAAAAATAAATGATGACCTAGCGATGGAGCTGAGATGAAAGCTGCAACACACCAGTAAAGTTATCATAATCTTAGTGCTTCCTTTCTCTATGAAGAGCCCTGGTACTGACAAGGCCACAATTCTTGTTTTAAGCCAAGCTTTGCCTTAATAATGGGTTTAAATAAATTGGTTTGTCCTTAAATCTATGCCTTAAATAGAAGAAGCAAAACAAGATCCTTTCTGAAGGATTTGTACAATTTTTTATCTACAATGTTTGTGTTTTAAAAAATATGTCTGTAAAAGAGATCTCATGGAAAACCAAGAGGAAAACGAAACATTAAAAAATATTTAGAGAATTTATCTTATTTATTTTTATTAATTTTTATTTGAGTATAATTGCTTTACAATGTTGTGGTAACTTCTGCTGTACAGCAAATTTAAAAAGTTATACATATACATATGGGCTTCCTAGATGACTCAATGGTAAAGAATCTACCTGCCAAACAGGAGACTGGGGTTCCACCCCTGGGTTGGGAATATCCTCTGGAGAAAGAAATGGCAAGCCACTCCAGTATTCTTGCCTGGGAAATACTATGGACAAAGGAGCATAGCAGGCTGCAGTCCAAGGGGTCACGAAAGAATTGGACACAACTCAGCAACTAAACAACAGTAACCACACACACACACACACACACACACACACATATACATGTATATCCCCTCTTTCTTGGATTTACTTCCTATTTAGGTCACCACAGAACACTGAGTAGTGTTCCCTGTGCTATACAATATGTTATTATGTGTGCGTGCATGCTAAGTCACTTCAGTCGTGTCTGAATCTGTGACACTGTGGATTGTAGCCTGTCAGGCTCCATGTCTATGGGATTCTCCAAGCAATATCTATCTTATATTTAGTACCAATAGTGTAGGGTTTTTGAGTCTGGTGGTTCATGTGGTAAAGAATCTGCCTGCAATGCAAGAGACCTGAGTTTGATCCTTGGGTTGGGAAGATCCCCTGGAGAAGGGCATGGCAACCCACTCCACTGTTCTTTCCTGGAGAATCCCCATGGAGAGAGGAGCCTGGAGGGCTATGGTCCATGGGGTCCCAAAGAGTCGGACATGACTGAGGGACTAAGCACAAAGCATAGCACATCAATAGTATGTATATGCCAATCTCAACGTCCCAATTCATCCCACTCTTCATTTCCCCTCTTAGTGTCCATATATTTGTTATCTTTGTGGCATTTCTATTTCTGCTTTGCATTAGGTTCATCTCTACCATTTTTCTAGATACCACATAGAGGTGATGTTATACAATATTTGTTTTTCTCTTTCTGATTAACTTCACTCTACATGACAATCTCCAAGGCTATCCATGTCTCTGCAAATGACATAACTTTTTTTCCTTTTTATGGCTGAGTAATATTCCATTTTATATATGTATCATGTCTTCTCTATCCATTCCTCCTGTGAGGGACATTTAGGTTGTTTCTGTGTCCTGACTGTTGTAAATAGTGCTTCAGTGAACATCAGGATGAATGTGTCTTTTTGAATAATGATTTTCTCAAGGAAAATCATTATTATATTATATTATATTATATATATATATTATATTATATATGGCCAGGAGTGGGATTGCTGAGTCCTATGATAGTTTTATTTTTAGTTTTTTGAGGAACCTCCATACTGTTCTCCATAGTAGTTATACCAATTTACATACCCACAGTAGGAGGATTCCCTTTTCTGTGCATTCTCTCCAGCATTTATTGTTTGCAGATTTTTTAATGATAGACATTGACTGGTGTGAAGTAATACCTGACTGTAGTTTTGATTTGCATCTCTCTAATAATTAGTGATGTTGAACACCTTTTCATGCATTTGTTAGCCATCTGTATGTCTGGAAAAATGTCTATTTAGGTCTTTTTCCCATTTTTTCATTGGGTTGTTTGGTTTGCTGATATTGAGTTGTTTGTGTATTTTGAAGATTAATCCCTTGTCAGTTGCTTCATTTGCAAATATTTTCTCCCATTCTGAGAGTTGTCTTTTTGTTCTGTTTAAGGCTTCCTTTGCTATGCAAAAGCTTTTAATTTTAATTAGGCCCTACTTGTTTATTTTGTTTTTATTTTCCTTACTCTAGGAGGTTGGTCAAAAAAGATCTTACTGCAATTAATGTCAAACAGTGTTCTACCTATGCTTTCCTCTAAGAGTTTTATAGTCTGACAGAGAATTAAAGTTCTCAAAGAATTAATTAACACAATATGTATCTTGGCAGAGAAATGATAACAAAAACAAATGATAATTCTAGAGCTGTAAAAGTTAATAGCTGAATTAAGAACTAGAGAATGCATGTATCAGCACATTAGATCAACATAAAGTAGAAATAGTCAAATGCAAGATCAGAGGATAGATATTCCTCTATTTAGAAATGCTGGTCATATGGTAAGTGCCTGTTTAATAATACTGTATAACAAAATTTCCCCCAAACTTAGCAGTTGAAGGAATTTTTTTTTTAATTTTGCTCATGATTTCCTGGGTCAGTAATCTGGGAAAGATTCAACTTGGCAGTTCTACCTTTGGGGTTTCTCATGTGGTTACACTTAGATGTCATCTGGAGCCAACAGCTCTAAAAGTTTGACTGAACTGTGGTTATGTAAGGAAATTCCCTGAAGTATTTTGTTGTAGTTGTTGGGAGGGAGGGATAAAGGAGCATCATGTCTGCAACTTAACCCAGAAATATTTTACACACTCAGGGAAAAATGGGGCAGGGGGGACAAAGAAGGAGAGAGAGGGAAAGCTAGAGCGAGAGAGAGAGAGAGAGAAAATTAGAGTGAGGGAGAGAGAGGATAGAAAGAAAGAAGGATTAAAGGAAAATACTAACCTAACATTTGGGGAATCCAGGTAAAGTTCAGAGGGAATTTATTCCTAGAAATCCTTCACTAAAGAAAACACTAATAACATCAATAACATACTAATACTAACTAATACTAACACTAATATCATACTCCCCAGCTCTGTAGCTGCTCAATAGGCTACTGGAGATCAGTGGAGAAATAACTCCAGAAAGAATAAAGAGACGGAGCCAAAGGAAAAAAAAAAACACCCAGTAGTGGATGTGACTGGTGATGGAAGCAAGGGCTGACGATATAGAGAACAATATTGCATAGGAATCTGGAATGTTAGGCCCATGAGTCAGGCAAACTGGGAGCGGTCAAACAGGAGATGGCAAGAGTGAACATCGACATTTTAGGGATCAGTGAACTAAAATGGACTGGAATGGGTGAATTTAACTCAGATGACCATTATCTACTACTGTGGGAAAGAATCCCTCACGAGAAACAGAGAAGCCATCATAGGCAACAAAAGAGTCTGATATGCAATACTTGGACGCAACTTCAAAAATGACAGAATGATCTGTTCATTCCAAGACAAACCATTCAATATCAAGGTAATCCAAGCCGATGCCCCAACCAGTAATGCTGAAGAAGCTGAAGTTGAATGGTTCTAGGAGGCACCTACAAGACTCTCTAGAACTAACACCCGAAAAAGATGTCCTTTTCTTTATAGGGGACTGGAATGCAAAAGTAAGAAGTCAAGAGACACGTGGAATAGTAGGTAAGTTTGGAGTACAACATGGAGTACAAAATGAACCAGGACAAAGGCTAACAGAGTTTTGCCAAGAGAACACACTGGTCATAGCAAACACCCTCTTCCAACAACACAGGTGAAGACTCTACACATGGACATCACCAGATGGTCAGTACCAAAATCAGATTGATTATATTCTTTGCAACCAAAGATGGAGAAGCTCTATACAGTCAACAAAAACAAGACCAGGAGTGGACTGTGGCTCAGATCATGGACTCCTTACAGCAAATTCAGACTTAAATTGAAGAAAGTAGGCAAAATCACTAGACCATTCAAGTATGACCTAGATCAAATCCTTTTCAATTATACAGTGGAAGTGAGAAATAGCTTTAAAGGACTAGATCTGATAGACAGAGTGCCTGATGAACTATGGGCAGAGGTTCATGACACTGTAAAGGAGGCAGTGAGAAAGACCATCCCCAAGAAAAAGAAATGCTAAAAAGCAAAATGGCTGTCTCAGGAGGCCTTACAAATAGCTGAGAAGATAAGTGAAAAGCAAAGGAAAAAGGAAAGATATACCCATTTCAATGCAAGGAGAGATAAGAAAGCCTACCTTAGTGATCAGTGCAAAGAAACAGAGGAAAACAATAGAATGGGAAAGACTAGAGATCTCTTCAAGAAAATTAGAGCTACCAAGGGAATGTCTCATGCAAAGATGGGCACAATAAAGGACAGAAATGGTATGGACATAACAGAAGCAGAAGATTTTAAGAAGAGATGGCAAGAATACACAGAAGAACGGTACAAAAAAGATCTTCATGACCTAGATAATCTCGATGGTATGATCACTTACCTAGAGCCAGACATCTGGGAATGTGAAGTCAAGTGGGCCTTAGGAAGCATCACTATGAGCAAAGCTAGTGGAGGTGATGGAAGTCCAGTTGAGCTCTTTCAAATCCTAGAAGATGATGCTGTGAAAGTGCTGCACTTAATATGCCATAAATTTGGAAAATTCACCAGTGGCCACAGGACTGGAAAAGGTCAGTTTTCATTCAAAAATCCAAAGAAAGGCAATGCCACAGAATGCTCAGACTACCACACAGTTGCACTCATCTCACACACTAGCAAAGTAATGCTCAAAATTCTCCAAACCAGGCTTCAACAAAACATGAACCATGAACTTCCAGATGTTCAAGCTGCATTTAGAAAAGGCAGAGGAACCAGAGAT